ACGAGCATGGTGAGGATGCGGAGGAGGAGGAGGAGGAGGATTCAGTTGTGGCTCCACTCGGACAGGCAGTGCGCCTCATCGACGCACGCGAAACCGAGAGCCGGGAGCGCGGCGCGGCCGCACTGCACGCAAGTCGCGCCCGCGGCGCCGATGCCAGAGGCGGCGGCGGCGGCCTGCGCGGCGGCGCCGGCGGCGCCGCAGCGGCACCCCGCGACGGGGGGCAGCGAGCGGAGAAAGTGCTGGAAGGAGGCGTCCGCGAGCCGCTCCTGGTTGCGAGCTTCCTCTGGTTACTCTCGACGGACTGAGTACTCAGCGACTGGGGGGCACACGCGCGAGCCGCAGACCGGAGCGACGAAGAGGAGGCGCGAGGCCGCGGCGCCGCAAGCGTCGCGGCATCGCAGCGCGGCGTAGGTCGCGCGCCGCTCGTGCGGCTGCTGCTCCGAGGAGAGGAGCACGCCTCTCAGCGCGGGCGGCAGCGACGCCATCTGGTCGGCGATGAGGGCGAGGAGCGGAGACACGACGAGGGCGACCTGCGTCGAGAGCAGGCCGGCGGTGTTTCTTTTTCCAGGGCCGGGCGGGTGTCTCTGTTTTCGACGGCCGGGCTGCTGTTTCTGTTTTCGACGGCCCACCTGCGTCGAGAGCAGCGCGGGCAGCTGGTAGCAGAGCGACTTGCCGGCGCCGGTTGGGAGGACCAGGAGCGTCGACTGGCGCGCGAGGACGCGGCGTATGGCGCGCTGCTGCCCCCGCCGGAACCCCTCCATCCCGAAGCCGCAGCGAAGCAGCGAGAGCAGGAGCGGTGCCGGCGCCTCCACCGCCCACGACCCTGCCGCCGCCTCCGCCTCCTCCGCTGCTGCCGCCGCCTCTGCCTCGCCCGCTGCTGCCTCCGCCTCTGCCTCCGCCTCCGCGCTCGCCCGCCCCCCGCTGTGCCACGACGCCGCCGTCGCCGCCTGCAGCGCGGCCGCGGCTCGTCCCGATCTCGGGCCAATCTCGTGTCGATCTCGGGCCAATCTCGTGTCGATCTCGGGCCAATCTCGTGTCGATCTCGGGCCAATCTCGTGTCGATCTCGGGCCAATCTCGCGTCTCGCCGCACTCTCGCCGCACTCTCGCCGCGATCTCGCCGCGATCTCGCCGCGATCTCGCCGCGATCTCGCCACGATCTCGCCGCGATCTCGCCGCACTCTCGCCGCAGCGCAGCGTGC